ACTAGTTCTCCTCTAAAGACATTTTATATTGCGTTTTACACTGGGAATTCCAACTTTGTGTGCTTTCACAAAATGGCGACAAATTTGCTTTGAAGCTCAACAAGCTTTGACCCAATCCTCCTGAGAACTAGCCTGCGCCGCACCTGAGAGCAGGTGAAGGCCAGGACTTCAGGAGGGGCGAGGGTCACAGGTGTACCAGGGCTCAGGCAGTGCAGGAGCCTGCCTGGGGAACTGCGAGCCGTTGGCACACAAACGGCCAGCGCCAGGGCTGCAGCACTCCTGTTCCTGGTGGTGCCTGGCCACACAAGCAAAACAGAGGATGAGGGTCCATCACCCTGTTGAACAAATGTGTGGGAGTCTCTCTTGTTTCCTCCAACGCCGCCCTACAGACACGTCCGCCCACGCCGCGGCTCATCGACAACAAAAGGGACACCTGAGGTTTTATATACCCAAGCCGCCTGCTCTTCACAAGATGCATTTAGCGTGCACTTACCACCATGAAGTTCCTGCTCAGTTCATATCTAAGACATGTACCTCAGAAAACATAGGAGGAGAAGGCCTGGGAGTACGTGAGGTTAGCCTGTGCCCTTCAGTTAATCAGAGTACAGTCTCAGGCCTTGTCCAGTGCAACCCAGACCTCCAAATGGTACATTACCCATTAAAGGCCATGGGGTTCCATGGGGAAAAGAGGGAAATATGTGCTCCAGGCCCTTCTTTGATGACGGGCTGTAAGCCTAATCAGCGTGGCCCTCTCAGAACATCATGTAATTATTAACGCTGGATTCCAGAAAAGAGACTCATCTCCCGCAGTCACATGCGCCTTATTCCGTCATGCCCAGCTGCCCCCGTAACCTGGTGCGCCGTTTCCCTCCACTGCAGCTCAATATCGCTTCAAGTCACTGTGCCTGCGGCCTGTGCCCGTGTGGTGGTTAATTTCACAACCCCCGGGGAGAAACAACCTCAACTCAAAGAAAACACTGGGCCAGAACAGAGCCAAAATAAACTAGAGGGCCATTTCTAACCATCAGCCACCCTGCCTCCCTCGTCAGCCCAGTTTAATCCTCTGCGTGTCATTAATGAGGAATCCTGGCGACCACTCCCTCTCCCCCCGCCACTCCCAGCCCGCGCGCGCACTCAGCAACGAGCTTTCGCTGCCCAAAAGGAAATCCCATGCTAAGCCTCGGTCTAATCCTCTTTCAACTGCAACAACACGTAACTAATTATAGCCTTCACCGCTGTCTCGGGCGACAAAAGAAAGACAGAAGAAAAGGCAGCCGTGCACGCAAGTGAAGACCTGGCACAGTCACGGCACCAGGAGGTTTCACTTTTAAAACCCTGGTCTGGTTAGGAAGTAAGGCCTATATTCTAATATTTACTCCAGGAATCGAGATCTTTTGGAAACTTAAGTTGCAGAGCCAACGAGAGCTACGCAGGTGTGCCACAGCATCCGCTGTGTGAAGAACGCCAGGTTTGCTTCCAGAGGCAGGAGTTTACTTTATTTTTCAGGGCTGGGGAAACTAGTGACCCAGAGCTCAAGCTTGACCTGCCCCTGTGTCCCAGGTCGCTCACCCTGACAGGAGGTTAATCATTGTTAACCTTCAGCCCCCCCGCCGCTCTGTCCCTGGTCCTCCCTCTGCCTCTGGAAGAGGCTCTCCTGTCTTCCACGGCAGGGCATTTCAGAAGAGTCACACGTTATTAGTTCAGCCACGGAGGATGACTCACCGCAATGATCCCGCAGGAAAATAATCGATGGGCTATTGGCTCGAAACCACTTTTCACTGCGCATGGCCCCCATACGAGCCAAACACCGGTCGCAAGAATCGGCACATCAGCTTCGAGAAAACTTAGAGTGGGATGCCATTGCAAAGCCCAGGTGTGCAAAGTTGATAGAGACTTATTCACAACAACTTATTAATTGCTGTAATAATTGCAAAGGTGCTCCCACAAAGTATTAGTTGGGGTTGTGTGCACACTTATGCAACCAGGGTGTTGTAGGTTTTTTAATTTCAATTATTTTTCCTAATAGTTATTTCTTTGTTTTTTCTCTTGATTTTGGTTGGTTGCAACATCACATTAAAGATGGAAAATGTCTGACGTGATTTATCTTGATTTCTGGCTTTACATCACAAAAACCTGCTTTTTCCCCCAATAAGGCTGGGTAGTCGTTTTATATCCACTGTAGGAAGCAAATCTTTTGACTTTGTTTAGGTTTTAAACACGACATGCAACTCAGGACTGGCACCAGGAATGAAAGGAAACTGTGTTTCTTTCTGCATGCAAAATCTACTACAAAATCTACCGCTTTTACTTACACACAAAAGGCACAGGACTACATCACAATCGGCTCTGAGCCACTTGATCAGCACGATTAAAACTAGGAACAATGAAAGCATTTCTCACCATACAGAAACGATCTTATGGTCCTGTGACTTTGTCCTTGAACCTGTTGAATTTCCAGGAAAAGCTACAAAGGAAATTGTTTGCCATCTCTTCATTATTTATTTGACATTGTAAATGGCACAGTCACACTGTGTCGCCACTGCAAGAACTACAGTCTCGCAGAGAACACACATGCACGACCACTATATACTTAGTAGGTTTTCCAGGAAGACTGACTTCCTGGTAAGCCTAAAGAAGACAGAATAAGAAATACTGTCAGCTTCGCCAGCCAATACTTTCTTAATTAAATACATCAGTCTGACGGGAATCAGTGCTCACTGAGATACTGACACACAGGAGACACACGGACCAGCCCGCCCCAGGAGAGAGTGCTTAAGTCAAGGGCTTTCAACGTAAGCAGGGACCTACGTCCAGCTCGGCTCAGACTGGAAAACCTGATCATCTAATCGAGTTCCATTGCAAGGGGCCGAGGTGCCAACAGATCGAGACCTTACAAGCCTCCCGATCAGCAGGACAGCCAGGGCAGAGAGCAGCCTAACCATCAGGATGATGTTTTGGTCTTGTATCTCCTCTCCCATGGGTTATCCATCATGACACCGTGCTGTACGTCCCTCCCAGACACAAGGAAGGGGGGGGGGGGAGTCTGGCGCGGAGATGTGGGATATAGCTGGGGTCACCCACAAGGCCCAGATCAACCGGTCAAATTCAGCCAGGGCAGGTCTTTCACTCTCCCACTAAATAAAAACACAGAATCTGAACAACTGTTCGCTCAATAGAAGATGAAGCTTAACTATCTGACATTTAATCACTAGGCACTATTAAAATAGAAATTTGAAGAAGGCTCCACGGCCGAAACGTTGCGTTTTCTTTCTTCTCTTTTCAGCATGGAATAAACCTATCACTTGTTCCTTAAGATAGAAATATTGCATGTTGAATATTTTTTTTATTTGCACTACTTCTTTAATTTAGTTGCTCTTAGCTTGTGGTCACCCCTAATGGAAATTTGACAGCTGCCCTCTGTCAAGTCATACAAAATCTTCCTGACTGGCACAGATCTGCAAGGTGTCGGTAATGAGGATCAGTGGTTGTGGCTATTTGATCTGTGAGGGACAACAAGAAAGTAAACCATCAATGATTTACTCGGTTTACATCTTTTAGGTGGTGGAGGTGACATATCAGGCCTGTCCAGTCACAGAGCGTTGGGTTGGTCTGGGGACAGTTCACCACCCTAGAGAAAAGCATCGATTTACACAGCTGCGGAAGAACAGGACTGCTGGACAAGAGCTCCTACAAGCCGTACAGCAAAGCGAGCAAATCAAAGATCAAACATGCCTGATTAGGACCATTGACAGATGTTCTCTGGCACCCCTGTGCAAATGCTAGATCACTCATTTCTAAATGAGGTTTTGTTTTTTTAAAGTAAAAACCTTAAAAGCAGCTTTAAACGGGTTTCCTCCTATCCGCAAAACACAGTAAGTCTGTGACCTACAGTACCACTAGCTATGAGTGGAGACAAACTTGGACAGAATTTCAAATACTCCACAAATTGCATGGCACTCGGAAGAGTCTGTGTTGTTTTTGTTAGCAATGAGCAGTATCTTAAATACGAATTTGTATAACGGCAGCAGTTAACATTTAGAAAGTGGGAGGGAGGGGACAAGACAAGTTAGAACTTTCCACCCCCGCCCAACACTTAAAAGAA